TTTCTACCAATCACATTTAAGACTATAGTTGAGCACATAAGAGCCTTCTTAGATATTACCTGAATTTAGCCTTTAGTTAATTAATTTCCCCATTGGTCACTTCCCTTTGGGGTTGCAAATGATAATTAACAGTTATTGCCTCCCTATGTGATTCTTACCACCCCTCTGTTTGACCCTGGAAGCCTGGCTTTGCACTGCTAAGGGAATACTGCATTTAAGTGTATATATACAGGACTTCCAGGGCACTGGAGGACAGAGAAGAGAAAAGAGAATGGAAGAACTATATGGGTAAGAACTTGAGAGGAACAAACTGAGATGGGGAAGAAGTAGATTGAAGGGCTAGAAGAGAGTACTAGAGGAATAAGATGGAAGATGAGGAAAAGCCAGATGGGGGAGAACAAGATGAGGAAGAACTAGATGAGGAGAGAGAAGGAGATGGGAGAGGAGATGATATGGGAAAGAACAAGATAGATGAAAACCTGGAAGGGACAAAACTAGATGAAGGAATTAAGATAGAACCTAGAGGGGACCACAGACAAGTGTAGAGAGAAATCAGGCTAGAAATGAGCTAAATACGAGAGCAAAATATAAGCTTGTAACTGACACAGAATAATAAAGGATATGGACTAAGGAGTTTTGTGTACATTAGATTCATTTCTTCTCATCAAAGATTAATTATCAGCTAGTTGTAGGACCCTGGAGGGGACTATCGAGGGGCTGGACCCCCATAGTCCCTGATACCCACTCAGGCCTTATCTTAGTCTTTCTTTCCTTTCTTTCCGCATGTGCTGGTTAGTTTTTTGTCAACCTGACACAAGCTAGGTCATCTTGAAGAGAGCACCTCAAACTAAGAAAATGCCACCATTAAGATTAGCCTGTAGGCATTTTCTTTCTTTTTCTTCTTTTTTGTTTGTTTGTTTTTTTATTATCTTTCTTTTTCTTCTTTGTTGTTTGTTTGTTTTGTGTTTCTGGTTTTTGTTTGTTTGCTTTTTGTTTTTGAGATAGGGTCCCACTATATAGCCCTGGCTATCTTGGAACTCACTATTAGACCAGGCTGGCCTTGAATTCACAGAGATTGCCAGGTGGTGGTAGTGGCGGCAGCAGTGGCCCACGCCTTTAATCCCAGCACTCAGGAGGCAGAGCCAGGCGGATCTCTGTGAGTTCGAGGCCAGCCTCGTCTACAGAGCAAGATCCAGGACAGGCAAAGCTACACAGAGAAACCCTGCCTCGAAAAACCGGAAAAAAAAAAAAATAAAAAAGAAAAAAAAAAAAAAAAAAAAAAAAAAAAAAATTCACAGAGATACACCTGCCTCTGCCTCCCAAGTACTAGGATTAAAGTTATGTGTCCCTACCACCTGTCAAGAATGTCCCTTCTATAGGCCAAAATTCTTAATATTTTTGTACAATACATTGTAACACTTTCCAAAATCTGTCTAAACGTTATTGCAATCAATAATTTTACTATCATAGAGCCATTGTTTATCAAAAGGTAATGACCAGAATTCTCATTATGATCCTAATCATTTCTTCATTGTCTACTCATTGTCTGCCATAAAAATGTTTTTCACTGTTCTTAAAGGTTTGAAACGTTAATGAACTAAACTTTTTTTTCTCTTTTGAAAAGAAAATGCATTAGTTATGGTTCCTCTTTCACCAGAGAGGGATGAGAGTGCACACGGGCAGTGCAAAGTTAGCCTGACCCCAGGCGACAGCCCTTCCCTGTAGTCTGGGGAGCTCTGCAAGTGTTCCTGATGGGTAAAAGCTATCCAGGGAACCCACAGGTCAACTCTGGAATCCATACCATCCAGTGTTATGCAAGGTGGGGATGCCACCGTTGCAGTGGGAAACTGAGGGTGTGGTACTGTTTTTCCTCCTGATCAGAGTGCTGCATACCACTAGATGCTCAGTATACATTAGATGAGATAGTCCAAGGCCGCTGGGATATCTCTCAGTTGATAGAGTGTTCACCTGGCAGCCACAAAGCTGGGTTTGGTCCCCAGCCCATGTGGCCTGGACGTATTGGTAGAGACTTATAATCCCAGCACTGAGTGAGTGGAGGCAGGAGGGCCAGAAGTTCAAGGTCATCCTCAGCTGTATAGGTGATGCACAGTAAGTTCAGTGCCAACCTGGGGCTACATGGAACCTGTCCAGGGGAAAAAATCAGGAAAGATTTGTTAAAATCTTGTTAAATTAAGTACTTAATTTTCTTTTAATTTCAGGGCCTTATTTTGGGGAGTAAAATCAACTGGGCAGAGGATCCTGCCCTCAGGGAAATTGTGTTGCAGCTGGAGAAGAATCTCACCAACATCTAATAAGAATCCTGCTTTGACATTTGAACATTGTTTTTGTGCCCAGTCTGTCATTTAAATAGTGGAGTTCGTGGGAAATGTAAGAAGTGGTTTTGGAACTGTTCTGATGCTTCAGTTCTGAGGGCTTGAGTTGATGATATGACATGAAATCTTTTATTTTTAATATGATCACTAAAGTGACTGGCATGCTCTGCAGGAGTCTGAACACTGTAGTCTTGGAAAAAAGGCATCTGTCTGGTCCAGCTGTCACAAAATGTGAACATCTTCACAACCGTTTTCCCGGTAGTGCCTTTCAGGATGTATCTGTGCATTGGTTTGTCAACCAGCACATTAGAAAAGCATCCACAGTGTAAAGGGTCGTTGATTGTTTAAGTAAGATTGTGGGTTGTGACTTTTTCTTTTTTCCCCTTCTCTATTTAGCAAGCATTTTATTTTTATAAGTTAATGAATAAAAAGAATCAGTGTTACTATCTTATTAATTAAAAAAGAAAATTTACAGTGGTTAAGATCTCTGGCTGCTCTTGTTGCAGAGGACCCAGATTCAGTTCCCAACACCCATATGGCTGCTCACAACCCTCTGTAAGATGTCAGGGACTCTGACATCTTCTGGCCCCAGCCAGGTACCAGGCATACATGTGGAGCATGCATATACATGCAGGCAAAACACACATACATATAAAAAACAAATCTTTAAAAGAATTAAAAATGGACATCTTATAGACTCTGTTCTATTTTTGGATAACTCTTGAATATTTGGAGGTTGTGCTGGTCAGTGTTAATTATCTGCCTGACAAAATCTGCAGTCATCAGGAGATGGGTCCGTTGGGGATTGTCTTGACTGCCTTCATTACACTGAGAAGACCTGCCTGCTCTGGGTGGCCCCGTTTACTGCCTGGGCTCCTGGGAGGTATAAGTAGAGAAAGGGACTTGAGCAATCACTGCGGTCTTGATGTTGGACTTGCTGCTTCAGACCCCGATGCCAGGACGTCCCCAGCATGACAGACCTCACCTTTACTGTGAGCACACCTTTAATCCCAGCACTCAGGAGGCAGAGGCAGGCAGAGCTCTGTGAACTGAGGGCAGGGGAAAGAAAGACAGGCATGAGGATGGGAAAGGAGATACTGCTGTTTGAATCTGAAATGATCCCGTACTCAGTCACCAGCTTGTGACACTTTTTATGGCTGCAGTGCTTTTAAATGGTGGGTGCTGGCTGTGGCTGTAACTCAGAGGTATTGCACTTGCTTGGCATGCATGCACAAGCCCCAGGGTTGGATCTCCAGCACTGAGTGTAGAAGGGACTGGCTAAAGGAGGCCACTAGGGGTGGGCCTCAGGCTGCTGATCTTTGCTCAGCCACCTGTGCCAGGAGAAGCACGTGCCCATGACTCACATAGTTCCTGCATATCTTCCTGCTGTGACCTGTAAAACTGTGAGCCTAAGTCAATCCTCTCCTTCGTTCGTTCGTTCGTTCGTTCGTTCGTTCGTTCGTTCGTTCGTTCGTTCGTTCCTTCCTTCCTTCCTTCCTTCCTTCCTTCCTTCCTTCCTTCCTTCCTTCCTTCCTTCCTTCCTCCCTTC